ATGTGTTACTGCATGACATCCTTCATTAATTTAAAAATCAATCAAATTAAATCGTGAATTGATGTGAATCGCTGTGAATCGTAGAGAATCGTTGTGAATCGAATCGAATCGATTTGGGAAATCTGAATCGATACCCAGCCCTAACCTGGACCACCAGAAACTACACCTGAACTACTGAAACTACACCTGAACTACTGAAACTACACCTGAACTACTGAAACTACACCTGAACTACTGAAACTACACCTGAACTACTGAAACTACACCTGGACCACCAGAAACTACACCTGGACCACCAGAAACTACACCTGGACCACCAGGTGTTGGGTTCTGGTGGTTCTGCTCTTGGACCTGAAGGTTTCTTACCCTGGTGGTCTGTGTTTTGCTCAGGATGATGATGATAAGGTGAATCAGCTGTTTCTTTAARGAGTGAATGAGTTAATGTGTTAAAGGCTGATGTTTCTGTAGACCTGAAACAGGAAGTGATCCTAAAACAACAGCTGAGATTAAAGCTTGTTAAAAACTCTCTACTTATTAAAGGATTGTTTTTATGACGCGTTGAATATTTAAAAGAAAAAGAAATTAMAACAAATGTTGATTAAAATTCACTAGGGTCAAAATTGTATTGTGCTTTTATTTTGAAATGTAAAGCTCATTCAGACTGGACTCTCCTCTGAAATATGTTCGGAACCAGATTCAGTCAGATGAAGTCATCATTTATTCAGGACAATTTATGAAACCATAAAGGTAAAACAAAAGAATAAARCATTTAAAAGACAAAGTATTTTAAGAGTAAGCTCATCAGAACAATGTGTAAACAGAAAATAAAGCCAAAATACTTCATTTTTATTGTCATGTTTTTGTCATGTGTGTCTTCTTGAGTGGGTGTTCTTAAAAGTAATTTATTGTGCTCCGTACAGTGACAATAAAGGGTTCATCAATCAATCAATTATATAAACCAGTTTCCTATTTTGTGATTTATTTATTGATGCTGATAAAGTAATAATTATAATAAAAATTAAATAATCTAAATCTGGGAAATTAACCTTCCTCTGATAAACCTTAACCAAAGCTTTACGGCCTCTAGACAAAAACATAGCTACAGAAACAAATCACTGTTTAAATATTTACCCGTATATTAGAAAATAACAAAAACATGGTTTTATCACAGTAATTTAAAATAAAACTAAAAATGTAAAATACGGGTAAAAAACGACTATATGCGTGTTGCTCTCCGAACTGCATTCAAAATCCTGACATTTAAAATAAATTCATTTCGTTTTACAAAACTAAAGCTTTTAAATTAGACATATTTACTCAGTCGGTACCGAGAGGCTCTACAGGTTCTTTCGGCGTTAACTGCGAAGAAAACCCGTTTTTTGTTTCGGTACCATTTGGATTTTATGGTCCGGATTGAATCACGGCGGCTACAGTTACCGCCCAGTCACGCAGACTTGGGTCCTTTTAAACACTGAACAAAAAAAACACGATATACACAAAAATGTGTTCTGCAGCTGATTTTGTTGTGAGACGAAGTGAAGGACGGGTTCTGTAGAATGAACTGACGAAAGATTTTAATTCACAGTCGACAAATCGGGCCTGAAAATCAACATTTTACTAAAAGCTTTAGATTTTTAAACGGGGTTCGTCTGTTAGCTTTTAGCCGTTAGCTGCTAACGTTACCGCAGCGGTCTGACGGCCAGTCGCTGCTGCAGCGCAGACAGACGGACACACCGACTGTCTGCGGGCCGGTCGCCCGTCCCCTCCGTGTTCTCACCCGCTCCGTGCACCGCCGCTGTGTCCCCGGACCTCCGCCCTCCGGAGTTCACGGTTCCCCGGGCTCTTCGGCGGGACGAACCGACGGTCAAGCGGTTCCTGCGGTTCCGCCGTTCGAAGGCAAGATGTCGGACGGCGGCAGAAGCTGTGCGTCAGCTGACGGAGGCCGGCCACGTCCCATTCACGGGAGCTCCTCCCTGGCAKATGGCTGCGTTCCGTTCAGAACACCACTCTACTTTAGCTGGCAACGTTCCATTCACGGGAGTTCCTCCCTTACAGCCGGCTGCATTCCATTAAGAACACTGAAATTTGTGTTCCACCTGTATGGAAGCCTGTCAGGGCCAAAAGTCTTCCTGTAAGCCCAGTTTACGCCAGCTTTGACCGGAAAGAGTAGACAGGTAGAGAAAAGCACAGGTGTCAAAATGAGGGCTGCATTCCATTTCTGCAGAGATGTGCAGCAAAACAGGAAACATGTTAGAAAGTCAGGAGTGCCAAATTAAATAATTAAATATATCAT